CTGAGGCCACACTTGGGATGAGAGACCACAGATTTGTCAGGGGGCAGTGCGCACGGTCGTGTGACCTTCCCCAGCAGGGCTCCTTGCCGACATCGGAGCCTGGGAGAAGGGTGGCCGATGACCTAGGTTTCAGGGTTCCTAGGGCACGAGTGCTGTTGATGACACAGTCAGGAGGGACCCCTGAGGGGGCTTGAGTGTGAGAAAAGGGGTAGGTTGAGGCAAGGGAGGCTTATGGGCAGCGTATTGTTCCGTGGGAGTAGGAGAGTGAGCCAGGAGGGGTGAGGTTGAGGTTGTGGCTGGAAGTCACTGCATTTCCTTTCCGAGGCGGAGCAGCCTTAGGTGGTGGTAGAGTCCGGGTGTGGCCCTGTCAGCAGGACTATCCCGAAAGGCTGCGGGACCCGGCAGAGCACCAGATACGACAGGAAGAGGCGGGGGGAGCAACGCTAATGGTCTGCCTGGCTGGGCAGGGGCGCACAGGGGACCAGGGATTTGCATTCAGGCCTCCCTTACCCAGGCCAGTGTGCAAGTTCACGGGCCTCAGTAAGTCTGTTTCCTCTCTGTCAAGGGCCATAACAATGGCACCCACCTCGTGGGATTGTTGTGAGAATGAGACGAGGTCATACACGTGAAGTGTTGAGCACAATGCCTGGCGCATGATAAGCACTCGATAAGTAACAGCTAGAAGGTGACTATGGCTGTTAGCGAGACCCAGGCTTCCGTTAGGAAGACACAATGTGGGAACGACAATGCCAACAACAAAAATAGGCACGAGGACACGTAGGGATGGCCTTCTTGTGGAAAGAGCGTGGATTTTTGGAATCTGTGTTTGCATCCCAACTCTGCCACTTATTACCTCTGTGACTTGAGCAAGCCATCTCATCTGACCAAGGTAGTGAGGACGCTGCTTTGTTAAGATCTTCGGCCCCTGAAACGTGTTAAGTGTTAAGTGCCTACTAAGTACCAGGTGCTGGAGATAGAACGACTTAAGAAACACACTTTCTCTGTGCTCGAAGAACTCACAGTGCAGCCTCAGAGTCAGGTGAAGAGACGACCACAGCTGGGAAACCTCAGCGCTCTGGCAAACGCATCTGAGGCAAACAGGTAAATCCTGATTAAGGCTGGAGAGAAGGAGTTTGCCTTGAGGAAGCGATTAGCTCATTCCCTCCTTTCTAAAGACAAAGAAATAGAACTTAGTACACCCTTTCCATTTTTTTTTTACAGTAATAGGATTTTAGAAACTATTTTGGAAGGCAGAATTGGTGGAAATTAGATCTTCCGACGGCCTGGGAACTGAACCGTCTGCACGTGCACCCTTTTCATCGTGGGAGATCGCGGAGCGGGAGGTCAGGTCACCTCAGCACGCGTGTGCCCCAAGTAAGTTGCTCAGTGTCCCCATCTGTAAGGTAGGGACAATAATGACGTAATACACGTGAAATGCTTAGGACAGCGTCTGGCACATGGCAAGCGTTCAATGTATGTCAGCTGTCATCGCGTTAAGTGATGCGTTCCTCAGCCTATGCAGAGAACATCAGAAACTGCTGAGTGGGTGGATCAAGGCGACAAAAAATAAACTAGAAATCGGTCTCAGAATGAGTAGATTTGCAAATTGTGGGGCAAAAAATGAAAAACTGCTTATCTACACAGCTAAAATCCAGCAGATCTACCACAAGGTCTTGGCTATGGTGTCTACAGCTTAAATATTTGTTGATTTCTTAAGTACGCGCTTTACAAAAAACAAAGGGGCAGAGGAGTGCCTTACGTCCTAGTCTGTCTCTGTCTTTCCTGGAGTAGTCGAAAAGGGAGAAAGCAGGACTTTTCCCGTCTCTTGTTGCAGCCTGCGCGAGCTCCGGGCGAGCTGGCGAGGCGTTCCTCCGGTTTCTCTTGGTGTCGAAGCCCCTGAAGCTCCCGGCTGCAGGTTGTAACTCGCACCTCAGTCCTTTCTCTCTCACTTATCAGGGAAAGGTTTCCACGGGAAGATAAAGGCATTTTCAGTCTTGGGCTTTCTTCTCCTTCGCTGCAGAAGTCGAGGGAGTCAGATGAGTGTGGTACAGTTCAAAACGGGGAACAGCCCACAGGGGTTTTTCCCTAGAGTCCTTAGGGAAGCTACTATCATTTTTCTACCAATCAAATATCTCCAGAACAATTCAAATGATTTTGGAACTTTAGAGAAAGTCCTCACTTCTTCCCTACGATATCCCCCCCTTTCTTGAGCTCCTTAGGTGCTTTCTCCCCTTTTAAGTTTCATCTTAAATTTAAATATTAATACAATGTTCCCAGAGAAACTGCATGGCCTTCTCTTTTTCTGCCTGCTTTGCCTCTGTTTAAAAAGCTAGAATCAAGCTAGCATCAGGGCATGCCATTTAAAAACAAAATTTACCGCGTTATACAAGAGATATACAGTGTATAATGGAATCTTGGTACATGCCAAACCCTTATTTGCTACCATATAAATGAATGTGGCGAGGTGAGAATTAGGAAAGATGTTTAAGACAAGAGTACTCACCGTTGGGAATTAGTCCTGGGGCCATGGCAAACATTTCTTCAACCTAAATAAGAGTAAAAGGATAGTAGTGAAATTTTTCAAGCCAAAGGATTTCAATATAAAATTATGCCCTTTATGACCTTAAAAAAAAAAAAAAGGAATGATAGAAAGATTTAGATACTAATTGTGTGCATTTTTTCCCCCAAGAATTTATTTGTTAAAATTAAGCCATGCATGGTGGCTCACACCTGTAATCCTAGCACTCTGGGAGGCCGAGGCAGGAGGATTGCTTGAGGTCAGAAGTTCAAGACCTGCCTGAGCAAGAATGAGACCCCCATCTCCACTAAAAATAGGAAAAAAAAATTAGCTGGGCAACTAAAACAATAGAAAACGTTAGCCTGATGGTGGTGGCTTGGACCTGTAGTCCCAGATACTCAGGAGGCTGAGGCAGGAGGATCGCTTGCGCCCAGGAGTTTGAGGTTGCCGTAGGCTAGGGTGACACCACAGCACTCTAGCCTGGGCAACAGAGCAAGACTCTGTCTCAAAGAAACAAACAAACAAACAATTTACTTGGTAAAATTAAGAAGCTAGCAATCCTATGTTGGTTCTCCTGATGTTATTTGTTTACTTTATTGGGCTGTGAAAATGAAAGGACCTGTTGTGCTAAACCTACTGCCGTTCCAGCCGAGAAGGCCCTCCTGAGGCTCAGAGGAGGTGCCCCTAAGAAAGTAATCCTCTTTTTTAAAAATAAGGGTAGCATTTTCTATTTTTAGCCTTTTTTTGAAATTGTGGTAGAAAACACATGGCATGAAACTTACCATCTTAACCACTTTTTTTTTTCTGGAGACAGGGTCTCCATCGTTGCCCAAGTTGAAGTGCAGTGGTGCCATCATGGCTCATGCAACCTCCAACTCCTGGCCTCAAGCAATCCTCCCACCTCGGCCTCCCAAAGTGCTGGCATTACAGGTATGAGCCACTGTACCTGGCCTTAACCATTCTTAAGTGTACAGTTCAGTGGCATTAAGTACATTAACGTTGTTGTACAACCATCACCACCACTCATTTCAAGAACATTTTTATTGACCCAAGCTGAAACTCTGTACCCATTAAATACTAACTGTCCATTCCTCTTCCTCTGAGTCCCTGGTAACTCCCACTCTACTTTGTGTCTCCATGAATTTGACTACTCTATGTGTCTCATGGAGTCATATAATATTTGTTCTTTTGTGTTTGGCTTATTTGTGTCACTTAGCATAATACTGTCAAGGTTCATCCATGTTTCAGGATGTGTCAGAATTTCCTTCCTTTTAAAGGTGTTTTTAACCTTTTTTGACAACTCTTGCTTGTATTATCTTTCAACAAGAGGATGGTTGATGAAAGGGCAAGTCTTGTCAGCTTTCTGATTTACCCATCTGCAAAACAGTTTTGAATTCTGAACTATCACTTAGACATTTCTAAGCAGGGGTCACAAACCCACAGGGTCCAGGCGCATGAGCGGGAAAGCAGCCTGGAGCGCGGCTGTGGTGAACTGGGGATATCTGCCTCTTAAAAAGCTGGGTGATGCTGTTTAATTCCAATTATTTCCAGTATAATGTAAGCCCAGTACTGCATATACTAATCTGATTTTTCTGTACTGGCCAATACAGTTGGGCCAAACAGAACATGTTTGCAGGCTGGATCTAGCCCACGGGCTACCAGTTAGCAATGTCTGCCAGGGAGCTAATTTTAGTGTGGTTTCATTCATTCATGTAATAGTAAATGTTTACTGGGTCTCTACTACAGGCTAGGTTACACAAATAGGTAAATCCTATTGTTTTAAAATGTGCCTTTATTATTGCCTTCGTTTTACATTTGACCACCACAGAGTGGTCAAATAACTTGCCCTTGGTCATGGGGCTGGGAAGTGCTGAGGTGGGATTTGAACTCAGATGGTTCCTTAGCCCAAGGTCTTGTCCCAAAGGAGGAGGACTCAAAGGATAGTGTTAAAACGTGGATTTATGCACAGTTCCAGAAGAGGTGATTTTTAACTTGTCTGGAAGGTCGAGTTCAGCAAACAAGGCAGGGAGGGCAATCCAGGCAGAGGGAAGTATTTGGGCACGCATCAAGCCCTGAAATTGACAGGAAATGAACATGAAGGGGTAGCGGGTCTGCAATGCCCTCTATTCCACTGTCTGTCTTCAGGAGAGTTTCCAGCTCATCGACGGCTCACGTCTTAATACTAACTGTGAGGATAAGCATGGTGCAGAAGGAAACGGGCATTTATTAATACAAACGCCCCAACCGCGGGCTACCAGCTCAGGCGAGCTAAGCGCGCCCTGAAGCTTCCCGCCCCCTGCCCGCAGGGACTACAAGTCCCATCGTGCAGTGCGGCGCGCCGGGAGCCCCCGCAGCCACGCCCCCGGGCTAGGTCCCGCCCCCGGCCCCGCCCCTCACGGCCCCCTCCCGCCGGGTCAGCCCCGAGGAGTCGCCCGGTGGCCGCGGCAGACGGAAGCCGAGCGAGAGCCCCGGCGTCCGCAGGATGGGGGACTCTAAAGTGAAAGTGGCGGTGCGGATCCGGCCGATGAACCGACGAGGTGAGAGCTGAGCCCGCCCGGGTCGCCGCGGCGCAGGCGGCAGGTGCCTGGCGCGCCCGTCCCGCGGCCGCCGTGGGGGGTCCGGCCGGCCCCGCCCCTGCAGTCGGCGGCTGGGGCGCCCCGGGACCTGGCCGCCAACAGCAGGCCGCGCGCTCGCCGGCTCCTCGTGCTCCCCGGGGCCGCGCTGGCGCCCTCGGGAGCCGGGCCCGGTGTCTGCGCCCGGC